TTTTGTAGTTTACTAAGAGAATGCCGTACTCCTATTAATAATGATTTGTGCACCGTAAATGAAAGAAAAATCAAGACATACGGTTTTCTCACCTTAAATCCTAACGTATAACTCTAACGTAGTTTCATTGCTGACGTTGATCTGCCAATTATCAGATCAGATTTTTTAGCACACTAACACCTTCTACATGACTTTTTTACGAAATGCATAGTCGATGCTTACACTGGACTTCAAGCTCAGGTTTGTTTCAACCCTCTACGCAGAGTAGCGCTTAAGCGGTTCAAGATTATTCATCTTTTTCTGATCTTATCTCTCAGTTTCCTAAAGTAACGCGTCCATTTAGATTGCCGCGAGATATTAAGTATCAAATGGTTTATCATATTCGCACTACTCCTGAACCACCAGTTTTAAGCAAAGTGTCATTTAAGCAAAGATGCATAGGTCCTGAGAAGTTGAAAATAGCTCGTAAAGAATTGAACGACACGTTGCAAGCTGGTACAACTTGATCATCTGAAAGCTCTTGGTCATAGTCTTTGCATCTAGCTCCAAAGAGTAATTCGACTTATTGTCCGTATGGCGATTTTCGTACATTGAATACTTGAACCCTTCTGGATCGTTATCCAGTTACCCACGTTCACGATATTTCTTACTTCATAGATAGCTGTACAGAACTATATAGAACTAATAAAGTGACCTTGTAAAAACCTATCGACAAATTCTAGTCACTGAAGAAGATATTTGTAAGACCGATATTATAAATTCATTGGCCATTGTATTTCCGTTTATGACGTTCGGTCTTCGAAACGCTGGTCAAACCTTTTAAAGGTTTATATACGAAGTTTACATAGATTGGATTTTTGTTTTGTATATATGGATGATACTCTTGTTTTTTTTTTTTTTTTTTTTTTTTTTTTTTTTAATAGAGCATGAACGCCATCTTACAACCACTTTCACACGACTCACAAAATACGGAATGCTGATATTTCAAAGAAATGTAATTTTTGAGACTCTGAGGTTAGTTTTGTAGGTTACACTATATCTGCTGCTAGTATCCGATGTTTGAGAAACCCGTCTAAGCAATTAAAGACTATCGTTTGCCAAAAATGGCTCAAAGCCATCGCTGTTTTCTAGGAATGTTTAATTTTTACTATAGATGTGTACCTAATACCTTTGAATACCAAGCTCCACTGCGTGATGCAATCAACAAACCAATTTAAAAATGTTCTCAAACAATGACTTAGATATCTAAATTAAAAGAAGCTTTCAAAAGCATCAAAGATTTGATTACTACTGTTTCACTTCTAGTGCACCTTGGATTAGCCCACCGTTTAGGTTATTTACAGATGCCTTGAATCATTCGCTTAGAGCTTATTCACAACAGCTTGTAATCATAATGTTCAGCAACCCATTGCATTCTTTTCTAAGAAAATGTCTTCGATAGAAAGTTTTAGGCCTGCTTATTCTCGTGAATTTCTAGCAGTTTATGTTGCATCTCAGCATTTCCAACATTTTTAAGAACGACATTCTTTTATAATTTACACAGATCGCCAGCCGTTAATTGATGTTTTTCAACAAAAGCTAGAAAAACTTCTACCAATTCAGTTAAACTAATTTTTTTTATTAGAATTTTTTTGTGACATTTAATATATCAAAGGCAAAGACAATATTGTAGCTGATACGCACGTTCACATAGATTTAGTTTATCCAGTTCCATCTACATATTTCTCCAAATATTGCTTGACTGTTCTCGATCGTCTTACTCGTTGGTTAGAGGTTTAACCTCCGCAAGGTATTACTGCCAATTCAGTGATTCATGCATTTTTGGATTATTGGATTTCTCGTTTTCGTTTTCATCAATTTATTGCCTAAGATTGTAGATCTCAATTTAGTTCTCAACTCTTTGAGGATGTTGTTAAACTTTTTTGGATTAAGTAAAAGTCTTCTACAAGCTGGCATCATACTTCAAAAGGTTTGGTTGAACGTTTACATCACCAACTGAAAGCTACAGCTATGGCTCATTCTGACACTGACTGGCTTCGTGCATTAACTTTTTTTTTTTTTGGAAATTCGTTCAGCTTTCAAAGAGAAAATCGAAGCAACTTCAGCTGAAATAGTATACAAAAAAACTTTTCACCTATCTCATGAACTTTTTATTTTAAATCCTGGAAGCAAGAGTGTTAACAATCCGAAAAGCTTACTTTCGAGAATGAATTTTAATTTATAATTACTCATTACTCATTTTTCAAGACTCATTACTCATTAGTCCATGAACTACAGGACAGGCTCTAGAGGTTAATAATAAACATATTAGATTACAAAATGTGTTCTATGAGTTGTCTCGTTATCTTAGGCGGCTAAAGCCTGTGCCGATGAATAGATAGTTTTACAATCTTGGGTTTGAATTCCATTACCATCAGATTTTTTCTTATTAAATCAATTAACTACTCTGTTTTAATTTCTTCTGATATTTTTTATTGTTTTGTTGATTTTTACTTTGATAAGTTGTTTCTTTATTGAATTTTGTTATTCTAATATTGAATTCATGTTCAGTGCCCTCAAATACCTTTGTGTATGAAATTTTGTATAATTTTGTACAAAATTTTTTTCGGTCACCATATTGGATCCACCATTTTGAATTTTGTAATTTTAATATCGTATTTGTGTACAGTGATCTCAAAAAACCCTGTGTATGTAATTTTGTAGATTTATATAAATAAATTTTTTTTTCCAGTCACCTTATTGGATCCACCATTTTGAAATTTGTAATTCTAATACCAGGCTTGTGTTTAACAACTTAAAAAAAAAAAAGTTACACTATTTTTAAGAACAAATTATGATTTGTCCGTTAACAGTAAAATTATTATCTTACACCTCAGTACATCTTTTATTAAAGGTCGTTATTAATACAAAAATATAAGTAGTATAATTATATTGACCTAGTGTACAAGTGGACAAAGTTATAAGTAATTGCAATTTTAGATAATTAGTGCAGAGTCTTCCACAAAATTAAATTTTCTTAACGTTTGAATCCATATTGTACGAAAACAACAAACGAAACCTCAATAAATACTTATAAATACTTTGCATGACTAAAAACATTAGCTAGATGCTTGTAAGGACAAATAGTAATTGGTATTGTTAGAAATTATATACTTCTTGGCTCTTGCACAGTATATATCGATATTCAAATTGTAGTGCTATACATCTAGCTCTGCATAAAGGCCTTACTCTGAGCACTGAGCACTTGGGAAAACAAAGAAAGGAAGGAAGGGGAGAGAAAGAGGAGGTCATTTATTACTGGGAGGGGGCAAGGGAAAAACCTTGCTGCAAAAAGGTCACCCATCACCTTCGCGAGGAGCATGGTATGGTGAAAAAGCGTGTGTTAAAATTCACAGAGGTACTGACTCAAGTAAGTTACACTGGCCGAGAATCAAGTTGGGATCCCCCCTGTGCCGATCCACGATCTATCTGACCGAGCCACCACGCCCTCATGTATGAGCACTCATACATATTAGTGGGCCTGATCTCACTGCCTGCTTCACACACTAGACCTCACAATTATTTGTTATTTTGTGCTTTTTTAGGTAATAAAAAATACACTTATATAAAAAATGTATTTGTGCAATATGAGACAGTTATTTCCTGGAATAAGATAGATACCCTATCGTTGATTCTGTCCCAATTATCGAGGGTCTGAGGTATAATTACAAAAATATAAAAAAAATTCTGTAGGGGCGGTGGTGGTATTGGGGGCCACTGGATGACTGTAGAGGGTGGTAGTAGATGAGGCGATCTGGACAAAAACTAAGCTAAGTCCAAATAAGTTATAAAGTGACAGGGTTTACCTTATTTTATGGGGGGGGGGGCAGTGAGGTGTAGTGATGAGTCAACGGGGGTCTGTTGGTGTTGTGGTGGTTATGGCAGATGGTTGGGGCTCTAGGGAGGTTGTAAAGGGTTTGTGCGAATTGCTTTACACAAACAACTCTACTATATATAAAGACGAATTCTGATATATACATACATACACACATACTCGGCCAGTCATGTGAAAGAGGTTCAATGACTTTGTACTTGTTGAACTATTACGATCTCGACAGTACTACCATGAGGGAAATAGTACATAAAATTTTATCTTAATAAAACAGTAGCTTTTTGTACCAAAACGATGAAAGTCTGATATTGCATTAATGATTAAATATTTATTTAATTTTACAAAAATGAGAGGATTGGAACTGACAGAAAACTTAATAGTATATTATGAAACTTTTGAGGAAACGTACATGTCCTTACGGCAATCTACTTTATATAGGTTGCAATAAAAAATCAATCTTAAAAGATTTTAATATGGTAAGAGTGTTCTTGTACTGCTAATAAATTTACTATACATTAATTTTTACTGTATTTCATATAGTATTATGCTGAAAAAAATTTTATTTGTACACTATTTTATAGAGTTACAAGAAATCAAATTAAATGATTATCTTACTTTGCCATAGATGTACTTGCAGTATTCTTATTTGTGGGCAGAAGATAAAGAGAGCTACCTAAAAACTTTTGTTCAATCTCATCCAATTGCTTACGAAATAAAACAAAAATTTATTGATTACGAAGAATTGTTCATGGAAATCAGAAATCTTCCAGATTATCATACAGTCGGTTGTTTGCGTATCAATATGGGTAATCTTTTTTAGTTTATAAAATTGATAAATTATTTAACAAATAGTATTAACGATACCATATTGTTTTAAGATAAATTAAAATCAGCTCTAATGGTGGAAGCGCTTGCTTGGAAAAAAACTTTAGGCAATGTACTTTCTAATAACTACAATGAAAAATTAAAAAAAATTTCTGAGTATATATCCAATAAAAACAAAGTTCTCAGCCGGATCATAAAAGATTTAGAAGATGTTCGAGTAGCTATGAAATGTTTGTCTGAAATTCGAGAAGATTTTATTTTTATGGATAAAGAGTTGATTATAATTGAGAACATTTACAGTATCATGGCCAAGTTTAAGGTAGAAATTTCGAAGGAGGAACAGGATATTGTTGAGAGCTTTCGATATAATTTTACAAATATGCTGAAAACGACTAAGGAGGTGCAGGCCACTGTATGTGACATGCAACAACCTCTAAAAGAAGAGCTCCTTGCTGGTATCACAGCTCTTAAGCAAGAAGTAGGAAGATTTTACAAAGATTTTGATACTAAAGGACCTCTTGTCATCGGAATTTCTGCGAAAGAAGCCAGTGAGAGGTAGAGATTTGAAATCGTTATTTTTTTCAAGTCAATTAGTAATGCAAGTTTAATGTATTAACTTATTTATTTTTAGGGTGCTGCTATTTCAAAGTTGGTTTGAAGATTTGTCGAATAGATACGAAACATATAATAGTGGAGAAAGCCTTTTTGGACTTGAAATGACTGAATATCCACAACTGCAGCAGCGAAAACGAGAACTTAACCTCTTGCAAAAACTTTATTCACTTTATTTGCAAGTGATGCATACGATCGATAGATATTACAAGATGCCCTGGAGCCAGATCAATATGGATGAGATCAATTCTGAGATAACAGACTTTCAGAACAAGTTTGTATCATATAATCTTTTGAGCTATCAATGTAGATCCTAAGTAAGAGAAAATAAAATCTTTAATAAATGTGAATGATATTTGTTTTGAAATCATAGTGGCTTATAAATAAATTTCTCTTAGCTAAACGTATAAAGTTTAGACTGCACCTGTAGTACTAGTGTACCAAGTTCTTATCTTGCACATGCTATTGAAGATAAAAATTTTTTTTTAATTAAGATCATACCTGAGCCACACTTATTTTTGATCTTATCAAAATTCCGTATGATTCAAGTAGATTATGTTTTACAAAATTAATTGTAGCACAAACATTAATGTTATCACCTGAGTGACGTGAAGTGATATGACTAACACTCTCCAGAGTTGTGTATACTATTTTAACCTGTAATGTGTAAAGATTCAGATGCTCACTGCCTGTTTGTAAATCAGTGTGAAAATAATGTAAGCAAAATGACTTTCAAACAAACTTGTTTAATAAGACACTTTGTTTACTCAGTGAAGAAAGAAGTAGCTAAGCTTTGCACAATAAATGCCAAAAAACTCATTTTCCTAACTTTGGAGTTTTTTTTTAACTGCACTATCCCTCTTAAAAAACAACAATTTTCAGTACTTGTGTACATGTAAGCAAAGTAGAAACAAAAGTGCCTAATGTTTACTTTAGTAGAGATGTCACTTCACTTTCAAAAAACACTATTAACAAAATTTTTTCTCTAGCGAAAATTTTTTGTATTTCTTAACAAACATTATTAAATAACCAATTAAAAGTTTTGTTACTTACAATTTCAATGACAATTTAGATGCCGGCGACTACCAAAGGCTTTAAGGACATGGCCAGCATATATTGAGCTAAAAAAAAAAATTGACGACTTTAACGAAACTTGTCCTCTCTTAGAGCTAATGGCCGATAAAGCAATGAAAGAACGGCACTGGCAAAAAATATCTGAAACGTGTAAACATACTTTTGACATAGAATCTGAAGCATTTAATTTATCGAGTATCATGGAAGCACCTTTATTAAAATACAAAGACGATGTCGAAGTGAGTAAAGATAAAAGTCAGAATGTGTGTCCTATACTAAATTGCTTTAATAAAAAAACTTAATAACAGGATATCTGCATAAGCGCTATCAAAGAGAAGGACATAGAGAGCAAATTAAAACAAGTAATCGCAGATTGGACTGTAGTGAGTCTACAGTTTGCGAATTTCAAACAAAGGGGTGAGTTGCTGCTAAAAGGTCTTGAGACTCAAGAAATAATAACTCAACTGGAGGATAGTTTAATGGTTGTGAGTTCTCTGCTGGCTAATCGGTTAGTGATATTTATAGTCTTTTTTATATTATGCATAAGTTTTTTTAATAGTATCATACTTTTCACAAATTATTTAACTTGAAATCGTGTTGTCAGTTACAATGCGCCATTCAAGAGAGATATTCAACTTTGGCAAAAAAAATTGAACAACTCCTCTGAAATATTAGCCAAATGGATAGCAGTACAAAATCTTTGGGTATACCTCGAAGCCGTTTTTATTGGTGGTGACATTGCTAAACAGCTGCCTGCTGAAGCAAAACGCTTTAATGTATACTTTTTGTGCTTGTTTTCATTTGTCATTAAACTTTAAAATGAAGTTTTTCACTAAAGTTTCGTTTAATACACAGTCTATTGATAAATCATGGATGAAATTGATGTACAGAGCTCGAGAAAAAGTTAATGCAGTAGAAACTTGTACTGGTGACGAAACAATGGCACAGTTTCTCCCACTGTTGCTGGAGCAACTTGAGCTTTGTCAAAAATCACTTAGTGGGTGCGTCTTCTACATCTAATTCATCATTATGTTATCACCTTTGTCATAATAATAGTCAAATTGACTTTTATTATGTTTTTTTAGATACCTTGAAACTAAACGAGTCATATTTCCAAGATTTTGTTTCATATCAGATCCAACGTTATTAGAAATCTTAGGTCAAGCTGCCGATTCGCATACCATCGTGAACTACCTAGATGGATTTTTTGATAATATTGCTAAGGTAAGGTTTATTTTCCTTATACATTTCATGATGACAAACACCAAATTTTATTAATATACAATTTTATCGAGCTTTTTAAAATACCACAAATTCTTATCAAAGCAACTTATCGTCTTTCATCATATTTTTTTAAAATAAAAATGTTTATGTGAAAACATCAACAGTCCTAAGTAATAAATACGGTAGGGTATTAACAAACAGTATGTTATTCAAGCAGAAATTATATCGCCCAAGACTACCAGAAAATAATATAGAGATTATCTTAGTTAATCTTACGTAGTTAAGAGTTTGTATACATTAATTGAAACAATGTTTTTTTTTAAGTAAATAATAAAATATTATTAGTATTTTCGTAGTTAAATGAATGATTAATTTGAAAGATGAGTTACACGACGGAATCTGTAAGTAGCGTTCTTGTCTGCAGATCTTGATGGCTGGGATTTAAATACTGCTTAACAAAAACATCTATCGTAAACAGTAGATTCTTATTTAGGTATGGTAAAAATTAAACTTTTTGAAATACCTTATGCTAACACTACTATTCAAACTACTTATAGCGATCATGTTGCGAGGTGCAACTATATGGCTAAATATACTATGTTACAAAAATAGTCGTGTCTAAGCCTTAGGGTGATGATAAATACAACATAAAAAAGAAATACGAAGTTGAAGATAAGAAATACAAAATATTATAAAACTAATACCTTATATTAGTTTGAGCATGTATAAGCAGCTACTAAACTGAAATTTGCATGACTGTGTGGCTTATTGATAGTATAAAAAACACAAACTAGCTAAGGACTTCTGAAAACAAAGAGTTTTATGTTTAAAAATTATTTAACAAATAGTATTAACGATACCATATTGTTTTAAGATAAATTAAAATCAGCTCTAATGGTGGAAGCGCTTGCTTGGAAAAAAACTTTAGGCAATGTACTTTCTAATAACTACAATGAAAAATTAAAAAAAATTTCTGAGTATATATCCAATAAAAACAAAGTTCTCAGCCGGATCATAAAAGATTTAGAAGATGTTCGAGTAGCTATGAAATGTTTGTCTGAAATTCGAGAAGATTTTATNTGGGGGGCAGTTAGGGTGGTAGGGGCTCAATGGGGTTCGTAAGAGTTGCAGGGGATTCACGTGGAATGCCCCACATAAAGACCTATGTGTCCCCACCAAAGAACTATCATAGAAAGATATATATTAGTGGGGCTTGGCCTCCTCCGCGCTTCGGGCGCCAACCCCCTATTAGTGAATTATAATCTTTTACGTCAGTTTTGAGGTAGGAGGCAAAAGATTATATAAAAAAAAATTTCCTTTCAATTAAAATTCATAAATTGTTTGAGTAATGATAATAACTACATAAAAAATGTAATAAAATACCTCTCAGATAAGTTAATTATGGTTGTCATGAAAGCTTTAGTGGGTCTGTGGTGAATCATAAAGAGCGGTTCATAATAGACGTAAATAAAATATTATTTTTTAACTCACAAAAAAATGAATTTCATCATAGTATTCAAAATATTTTCGTAATAATTACTGTTATACATTGAACTTCGATTACCATTTGAAATAGTTTAATCTATTTTCTGGAAAAAGTAACAAAATTATATAACAAATATTACTATAATGATTGATAATTATTCACGTGCTATTTTAATTTTTTATTTACTTTCTTATAGACTCCATTGTATTGCCTTTTTACACTTTTTCTTACAAATTTTCTTCCACACTGTTTACAAATTTTATTGTGATCTGGGTTGTGTATATTTTAATAACACCGTAAATGTGTTACTCTAGTAAGTTTTTGGTCGCACATGGAACAACATATAATTTTACAATATGTATGCTCTTTAACGTGGCGTACGTAATCATTCTCCATTCATAACTATACTTCATACACTAAATTAAAAAAATTTGTTATGTTTTTTAAAAATATCTTTCAATTTTTCTGTAGTTTCACAAGAAAAATCATGTAGGGGTTAGTGGGGGGGGGGGAGGGGACGACACAATATCGATAGAGTTAAAAACACGTGAAAATAAGACTAAATTAAATTGTCGGGGGAAAGGGTGACGGTAACGGGTCTTTTGGGGGTCGTAAGGGACTGTAGGGAGTTATATGGCATGCACCACACGTTAAACTATATAATGTAGTTATTTATGAAACTTTATACTTAATCATAAGAATTTTTTATCATTGTTTATTTACTATTAGATATTAAAGATCAGTTATCATGTTGTTTTTATGTATACTTTTATTATACATTAAGTACGTCTATTTTCCCCCTGGGCAGTGTAAAAAATTTACTAAAAAGTAAGGCTTGAGGTCATATTACACGGTTAAATTATAAAAAAATCCCATGTGGACATCTGAAGTGCATTAATATAGACACAAAATCAGTTGGGGGTCTGTGGGGAGCAGAAACAATTTTGTGGAGGGACGGTGGAGGGGCCATGGGGAGATAGTTGGGGGAATTTGACCTAATATTTATGGGGTTAAAATAACGTACAAGTAAGATGAATTTTTTTCAATTATAGCGGACAGTTAAGGGACAGTGAGAGATCTTTTTGGAGAAGTGGGAGCAGTGGGGAGTTATGTGGAATACCCCACACATATAACTTTATTATGTAGGATATATATTTCGACATTCATACGGACTTACGCAGACTAAAGAAGTGGTAGTTTTTTTATGCAACGATAGACTAACTATTTATGAGTGGATGTATGATAAAAATATGATTCTCAATTATTTGTTTCAAGAATAATTGGTCATTTAATAAGTCAAAGCCTATTAAAACCTTTGTCAACCAGTCAATATATTTTCCGTCTAGAGTTAACATAGAAATAATAAGAATTACGTTGACAATTTTTTAGTAGTAAGGGATACGCTGACTAATATGAGTTACGTGATTTTATTATTAAAAAAGTAACAATTTTTTTTTAACAAATACGTATGGACATTAAAATTTCACTCTTAATATTTAAAATAATTCAATAAATTAGAATTTTACACTTTTTTTTGGTAAGTGTAACAGTGGGTGTTTTTACTTATTACAACATTATAATGCCAGAATAAAAAAAAACTAAAGGGAATCATTAACAAAAATCATTATAATCTTATAAAAAGAAAGTTGCAAGATAATATAAACATCACAATTTCTTATGAGAATCAAAAAATTTTAGTGTCACAAATAGATAGATAAGATCAAAAAATAATAGTTTTCAAAAAAAAAGTCAACAATTAAAAGAGATACAAACAAAAATGTTGTACACAGTAAAAAAAAATTATCAAACAAGCTTTTTTAGTAAACAGTTTTCTAAATAAGTAAAGTTATTATGTATATGTGATTGACAGTAAAAGGGATTATCAGAATTGTTTGTAAGAAATCAAAGTGTCATGTGTCAAACTGGACATTGAATTTTACAGTTATAAATAGTTTTTTTTTCTCATGAGATTGGCACTGAATCTTTTATTTCTCACTTTGCCAAAATCTTACACAACAAAATTCGCCATGTTACTATTCTAGAATACTACTGTTTCAATTCAGTAATAAGAACTTGGGAAAGAGGCAAAAAGTTCGAAATAATTTCATAATAGGTTGACCCGACAAAGTGTTTTGTGAGGACTCACAGTATTTTTTTTTTTTTTTTAACTTACGTTATATCGCATTAATAAAGCAGAAATTTTTGAAACATCAGAACACTTGACGAAATACTTTGTAGTACATTTAAAGATGCTAACTCCTTTGGGTTAAATGGAACATGATTCTCAAGTTCATAATCTTTTTGAAGAAGCATGTAACGTTATACTGACATGCCAATTGAGAATATTTTTTAAGCGCTTCACAATATCTGAAGAACTTTGAGTAAAAAATAAATCGCAAAAATAAGAACAATCTTTCATTACAGATTAAAAAAAAAACCATTTTATTACAGCAACATTTAAGTTTCAAATTGAAAGAAAGCTGTATGAAATTATTACAAAAGCATAAGAAATAGTTAAAACAACATTACGCATTTTATGTAATACAAAGATATATTTTTATAATAAATTAATTATTGTAGTAGGCAATTTTAAATCGATTCTTCTGGTTTCGGAAAATAAATACAAGCATGATTATACGAAAAGTATAAAATAATTGTTAAATCATTACATCCTTGGACATTTTTTTGTATTTTGAAACATATAATCAATATTTGTTCACCTTATTAAGAAGAGTGGCTGAAGAGGGGTGGTGGAGGCTTAGGTAGGACTCTTTTAAAAAGAATGGCAGTGCTGTGAGGGGCAGAGGGTGGCTAAGCAAAAACATAATCTAACAAAACTAAGGTAAAAACTAAAATAATTTTACTCTCGTAAAAGACAGTGGCCATTGATAAGCTCACGTAAAACTATCCACGTCGCACTTTTGTGCCACGATCTCATGGAGCTCCCGCACTAGACATGGACCCTCCCACATTAACATACACACACACAAGCACACACACACGTCTGTGAGTTAATATTGTATTCACTGGAATTTTTAATATATATATACACATATAATGTGTTATTTAGTTGGGAATTCAAACAAATAAGGCAATTAAGTTTCACTGTAAAAGAGCTTATTGAATTGTATTTATAAACAGAAATAACCCATACAATTAGTTTTATAAGATCTAAATTACATAATTAAGAGACCTGTAAAAGAGAAACGACATTCAAGCCTATTATTTCCACTGACCTTTCCTACTTAAAGAATTTTTATCTTACATAAGTATACGACGGGAGTTTGGTTCAAACTAAACTTTTTACATTACTTATTTCTGTTCTCAGCCTATTGCTTTTACAGAATACTGACACTATCACGGATGTATTTTAATAACTTATGTCTTACATAGAACATTTAAAGTTAATATATTATCTTTACATCTCCCCCCCCCCCACGGTGTAAGTTTTGAGATGTGAAAAAAATTGGATTCTGATTTGTTACGTTCTGTGTCTATTTGGAAAATTGAGTTTCATAGTTTTTTAAAGATTTTGAAAGAACCTCCTTTTAATTTTTCGATTTTTTTCCTATTTAACTTATTTCTATTTTTTACACATACTAAATCACCTACATTAAATTCATGGAAATTTTTGTTTTCATCAAAGATTTTTTCATTGTATTCGTGTAGTTATTTGCTCTTATATAATGCAATTCTTTTACTTTCTTGTAATTCTTCTTGTGTCCTTACTTGTCTTAATTCATTAGGTAAAACTGTAACATTTTTTCCTTCTAATAAGTATATTGGTATTAAGCCGTTTGTGTATTCTGTTGCATTGTATCTTTTTGTACAGTCGTGTTCTATAGTTGTCCATGTTAATTTCCCTGTCTTTCATTAATCTTACATCTTATGTTATTTACTAACGTCTGGTTCAACTGTTCGTTACTTCGTAAAAATTCCTTGAAAACTGTATAATTTATTGCTTAATATTGATCTCACAGGATTATTTTTATTTCTTTATGTTTTACTACTTATTTCACCAATTCTATCAAATTAATTGCACTATATATTTGATGTCCGTACGAATTTGTATCTAGTAAAGTAATCCACTAGTAGATATAAATATTTTTTTGGTAAATAGGAACCTTCAAAGCCGCCAAAAGTATCTATTCATATGATTTCATAAGGATTTGTAGCAGGTCCTAATTGGGACATAAGTCCTATTTAACTTGAGCCTCTAGATTTATTTTTTTTTACATATTTCACATGATTAACAAATATATTGTATATTTTTCATTAGGTATTTACTAATACAAAACGACGTAATTTTGTTTATCATTTGCCTGGTTCCTATGTGACAATAGTATTTATGTACCTTTTTTATAAATCCTTAACTAAAATTTCCTGATAATATAACTTTTTCATTTTTTTAAACTTTTTTGTAGAATAGGTTGTGTTGTAAAATGAATTTGTCTTTTTTGTTTTTCATTTCCATATTGTTTTCTTAATCCAACATTATATCTTTCCATTTTTTTAAATTACCAGTTTTCAATTGTTCAAAATTATTTTCATGTGGTTGTTAAACTGGATTTGTACTTAGACAGTCAGCTTCTAATTTTTGTTTTCCTGGTAAATGTTTAATTTTATAATTATTTTGTGATGAATAGTGTGTAAATTCTTATCATTCTTTGTCTGTTCTTGGTTTTTATATTCATACGCTCTAAAGGTTTGTCGTCTAAGAAAACTATGAAAGTTCTGCCAATAAACTAGTATTGCCAGTATCTGATTGCCTCTTTTATTGCTAGACATTATTTATATGGATGTAACATTTTTCTTTTTTTGGCAATCATCAATCTTCTTTGAAAAGTAGGCCACTGGTTCTTTTTCTTTACTAGGTTGTATTTGTTTTAAAACGGATCCCATATCTTGTATACCTACATATGTATAAAAATGTATTGGTAATTTTGGATCGTATATTTCTAATATAGGTTTTAAACACAGTTGTTCTTTCATTTTTTCAAATGTTTTTTGACACGTTTCTGTCCAAATAAATTTTTGTCCTTTTCTTAATAAATTATGTAGTGGATCAAGTAATATTGCTGTATTTAGTATATACTTAAGATAAAAATTAACTTTTCCTAAAAATTGTCTGATATTTTTTTTGTGTTCTTGGGGTTGGAAAGTTTTTTATTGCTATCAAATTATTTTCTAACGGACTCATTGAATTATTCATTATTTTGTGATTCAAATATTTTACTGAGTGTGATGCAAAAATACACTTAGAAAATTGTAATCGTAAACCTTCTTGCTTAACTGCCTTTAATAATTGTGTAAAATGCATAAGATGTTTCGTAAAAGTCGTCAAAAATATTAGAATATTATCTATATAATTAGTTATACAGTGACTCATATAATATTTTCTTATTACACTACTCAATATTCTTTGAAAGATTAATGGTGAAGTTTTTAAACTAATGGGCAAACACGCCCATTAAAATGCCCTTTTTGCGTCACGAATGCTGTTTTATATCTATCTACAACTCTTATAAGAATCGATCAGAATGCTGAATTTATGTCAAGTGTAAAAAAGAATCGGCAGTTTATTGTTTTTATCCTGATACCCTCAATCAATGGAAACGGTTGCAATTGTGGTTTAACTAGTCTATTTAAGTCTCTAAGATCAACGCATAATCTAGTTTTTATTTTCCTCTCTTTTATAAGCCAAAGTCACTGCAGCCAAAACTAGACTATAAATCTTCTACTTTATTTTTATTCAATAAAATTGCTAATTGCTGATCTATCTCTTTCTTATTTTTAAATTTACATCTATATGTTCGCTTATTACAATAGTTATCCACTTATGAGTCTATATAAGCTTCGTAATCTTTAACTGTACCTACGTCATATTTATCTTTTGCCAAAAGTAATTTATATTTTTCATTTAATTCATCATTTTTTTTTTTTTTGCATACAATCTATAGTATTGAGTCAGATTTAAAAATTATTTGTATTTATGTTTTCGTTATAATTTACTTTATTATTGTATTCTAAATTATTATTCTCATAAGTATTTTACTTTAGTAGTATTTCTAAATTCTTATTTTGAATTAATTAAAACTTCTTTATCATGTTTAGTCTAACCAAGAAATTATATTTAAATTCTTTATTGTCAACTACAAATACATCAACTAATTTTTCTATATTGAAGACTTTGACTGTTACAGTAATCATCCCATTTGTATTTGACGCACCATTAATTGTCATTAAACTTGCTTTTTTTTCATTGGGTCTATTATTTTGATTTTTTACTCTATTAAACTTTGCATTTATCAAGGACACATTTGATCCTGAATCATAGTTTCCAACTACTTTAATTGATTTGTTCAACACTAAGTTGACTTTAATTAATGGTGGCACTACTAGTTGTTTTTTTTCTGTATCGCTTAATTTCACTTCTGATTCAGCATTATTGATTAAATTTATTTTGTTCTTATTATAGCTTTTATTATTAGTTTCTTTTTTCTTAAACCAGTATGTAGACTCAGAGTAAAATCAAGTACCTTTGTTCATATTTTCGCATATTTTACACAAGAAATTTTTCTCAAATGTTGCTTTTCTAAGTGGATTTCCTACTTTTTCTATCGGTTTATTTTTTTCAAATATTCGCTCTTAATATTCTCTCTATAAAGGTCTTCGACTTTTTCTAAGTTTTCTCTATCAATTCGATTCAAAATAAAAGTAGTTAAGCCTGTCGCGATAAGATCAATAAGTGTTTTTGTATAAAGTACTACTGAAGCTGTTGGAGTAATAATTGTTTAAAATTACGCTCCCACCCTGTTTGTACTTGTTATAGGTGGTGCTGCAATTATTTTACTTATGTTGCATCAGCTAAGCGGTGGCGGCAACCAGTGTCCAACGGTTTTCTGTACTAAACGCACGATGAAGTTTCTATTTTTTAACCATAAAAATACCACGCTCTACCACAGTTGTTGTCACTCTGCCAAAACAACTACTCCAAAAGGTTATGGGCTTAGGCAAGCGTACGCTGCGCGAACAATAATTTGTAGTGTTTTTTTTTTTATTTTGTGTGCGTGACGGTGCTGGTGTGTGACTGGTAAGACTGTACGTAAAGAGAAAAGACTTAGATCATGAGTAAGAAGGCTGGTAACGAGAAGAAGCTGAGCGACCTGGAGGTCGATGTCATGACCTTTCAGGCTGGAGGTGTGCAGAATGGCGAGGACGTCGAGGCGGACGTGGCGCCATTGAACCTGTCATCTAGGGCACAGGTGCCAGAAGAAGAGACTGGTGAAAAAGCCAAAGGTGAGTCTTTACTGTTTTTGTCTTCATCTTAAAAACACGTATTATGTTCGAGAAATTTTTTGAGACTTGGTAAGAACAATTGATGGCATGGTCTTGTGGGGGAGGGCAGGGGGAGTGATCTTGCTCGTGTTTGGTGCGCTGGCTGTGGACGTTGCGGGGCAGGTATGTGTGGGGCAGGAGACGTCCTGCTTTATCGCATACACTCGGCTGGCACGGCCCACGGCTCGGATCTTCATCGCGGGCCTGGACTGTTTCTCTCTCTCTCTCTTTTTCGGTCTCTTTCTATCGATCTTTAAGATTCCACCGTGCATGTGTGTACGCTGCTCAATGTCTGTGTTCCGCTAGATACGTGTGGGCACGTTTATGGTGTTGTTTTCTGAGACATATGCATGTGTGCATGTAATGTATTCCGTTCGAGGATCAGCACGATATCTCAATAATAGGTGGATTATTCACAACATGACTGGCCGTCATATCTGATCAACACGATAGGTGGGGTGAGAGTTTTGTGAAACTTGTGTACGGTTTCGCACGCTTTTTTCTTGCTCTGCTTGTTTTGACTTGTGTTCAGTTGAACCAAGCAGAGCTGGACTACATATACTGTAAAATTTGTCACTCATTTCAGAGAAAAATGCTTTTAAGATTCAGGAATTCAGTAAGGTGGTGGAAATCTTTTCAAGACTAGGTAGAATCAAGTTCACCTCTGACCTTCTTGAGTTTGACAATAAAAGCTTGATCGAGATCGGATCTCTGGAATCTCGTGAATTTTCAGGAAATCTTATTAAGTTTACTAAGGATGATGGCACTGTTGGAGCAACTGCTTAGACGATTGCTGGGACCGACAGCACGACTGTTGACAAAACGATTCTTGGATCCATCAGTGAGACTCTTGGAGAGACCGCTAATGAGATGTTTGCTGGGACCGTCAGAACGACTGCTGCTGAGACTGTTGATGCGACTGCTAGCACGTCTAGTACAAAAATTGTAAGCATGGGACAGTAAATAAATCCAAAACCAGCTGAAAACGACCTAAGACAGAAAAAGCCCGAACATTGAAGACTCTCGGACTCGATGGTTTTTTAAGGTACTAACATTCCCTACAAAAATCAATTACGTATCAAGTCAAACCAGATTATGAAACCTCCTTTTACTTTAGAATACTTACCTAATAAGAACAAATACATTACTGATTCGACAGTGATAAATAATTATCGCAAAAAAACCAATTTAGTCGATCAAAATGTTTCTAGTGTTCCAATACTTAGCATGAAATATGATAAGCTCAATAAAAAGGTTGATAGATTGACTCATCAGTATTATGTGAGAAGATCAGAGATGGAAGCCTTCAGAGAAGATACTGACCAAAAATTCAATGATCTGTTGAATGCTGGGACCGAGGAACTTACAGAGCAAAGAGGCATGCTCAGCGAGATCATGAGAAAGCTCGATGCACTAGGCTCAAGCACGTTTGGTAACAGACACTCGAGAGACAGTAATGACCAGGTAAACATAAAAAATTTGAAGATTCATGAACAATTGAGAGGTGTATACTCCAATTTTAATTTCACCGAACCAAACAAAAGACAGGCTATACATGCGACTGATTTTCTTAGTGACTCAGCTCGTGAGAGACTGCAAATTGAGAGTACTATAAGATACATCTATTAAATACGACTATAAATTAGACGAAAATATCTGACTAAAATTATTCCTTGATAAACTCATGTCTGAGTGACTAGCTGAAGACCTAGCTTACACCATTGACAAATCAACAAAATCACCACCCTACGTAACAGAAGAAGTGACAAAAAAACACAAAATTCTCGTGCGCAACATCCTGATGAACAGGATTAGCGAGGACTATAATGTCAAAACTATAAGTATTCAGGACCTGATACAATTTTTAACGAGAACCAAAAAAATCAAATGTAGCGAGTCCAATTTGACGACTAATGCTATTAGAAAAAAAATTATACACAATTCAATATAACCCCACAAGGGAGATTGCATTCCAATTTTATAATCGTTTTGAAGACTTAGTGAGACAGTTTAGTAATAATGCACAGAAAAAAGCATTGCCTGAGGACGAAAAGTGTGACGCTTCCTTTAATGCCATTGTTGGCTCGGTTCAAGACCTAGAAATACTTGATTTTGTGAAAGAAAGTAACAATCCAGGACTGCTAAATTATAACGAACTTCAAAAGTATTTCCTAGAAGCTGAAAACCGCCAAGCAATCCAGAGATTAACTCAGAGACCAGTGACTGCAAATAAGGTTGAAACCAATCGTTATCGGGAAGGAGACCGATGCTTAAAGTGTGATGCTTATGGCCATAAATGCTAAGATTGTCAAAGGATAGGTGGCAGAAAACAATGCCTTAGGTGCAAGCTTTTCTTCCTTAGAGTGATGGAGCATAAAGCTTGATGCAGAGGTAAATCAAATGACAAAAGAAATAATAATAACAAAAGCTAAGATTTTAAAAGTAGTAGTGGAAAAAATGAAAGAGAAAATCATAACTGCAGAAGTCACAATAACAATCGTAAAAATAAATCGAATAAAGGCAATGAACCCAAGAAACTCAAAACTGACCACAATGAAGGTGGTGGTAATTCAAAAAATAAATTCCCCGATAAAACATCTGACAATAATAAAGGTGAGTTGAAATCTGAAGATGTGACCGTTTCATCCTTGTTTTCTCGTCTATGTGATGGTGATCGAGTTTCAACTTCCGACTCAAAAATTTTAGTGAATTTTATCGCTGATTCTGGTGCAACTCAGCACTAAGTCAATTCAAAACTATATTTAAATAAATTCAAAGAGACTGATTCCACAATTATTCAATGTGCAAATGGAGACCCAGCGGCAGACCTGAAAACAGTTGGTGGAGGATTAATTGTAAGTGTAATGATAACAATGTTGTGAGACTAAATAATTTTATCTGTGCTCAAACGCTTGCTGAAAATCTTTTATCTTTTACAGAATTTGTTGTGTCTGGCTTAACTATACATTTAGATAACGAAAAAATCGATATAAACGATCCCAAATCCAATAAAATATTCTGGACCGGAGTACATAAAAAACCCTATTGGACTATAGAGTAAGAACTTAATGGGAACAGTATCGAGACTGAAAATAATGACAGTAACAAAGGAGACTAGCATATTTGGTGACGGACAATATTAATTGTAAAAGGTTAAAATATAAGACACGCAGCGTAACAACACAGAAAAATATCCATGTTAATGACAATTTTGAAACTAATAAAAGTCAGGAACTAAGTTTAATTGATAAAGTACATGACGTGATCAATACGGATGTGACAGTCAAAAATAGAACCGAAATAAATTTCGAATGTTCGGTACATAACCGAAAATTACATAATGAAAAGGACCTTAAGTTATCTGAGTTATCAGTTGATGAGAGCCCATTTACCAACCACTACGAATAATTTGATAAAAATAAAAAAGCCATGTTGTGTCATGTGAGACTGGGACACGCTTCATTGAATTATCTGAAGAAATTTCAGAAGCAATTTTGAGACATTCAAGACATCAGAGAAGTAAAATTTGACGATTCTTCTCTGACATGTGAAATACGTTTAATTTTCAAAATCAATAAGCTCCTTTGTAAAACAACAAGAACTAGATCAACTAGACCGTTGCAGATTATTAACATATATCTTATGGGACCAATAAGCTCGCAGACTTTTCCAAAATGCTACAGATTTATGGCTGTCTTTATAGACGATTATTTGAGACTGACTCTAGTGTACCCCATAAAATCTAAAAGAGACACTGAATCACGCTTAGAAAAATTTATGAGAATAGCCCATAATCTTCTGGGTTACGATGCAAAGCAAAGGTGTGTTATTTA